ATGCTCGGTGGTACCTTGCGCTGTTGTGACCTACTGAGCACTTTGAAAACCTCATCAGCGAATATTCTGAAACTGATGTCGGCACTGACGTTGGGCTCCTGTTGCTTGAAATGCGTGGGAGGGAAAGGCACGTGGAGTGAATTGGCAGTATGACCAGGCACGGAAACTTCCGGTGTCAACTTTTGCCTTGTAGCGGAGCCGATCTTGGAGCTCATGCAGGTTGCATATGACTTTGCGCATAACTCCGGTGGAAATGGGCTGAGACGGTGAGAAACTGCAGCCCAATTCCAACACGGAACCTGCGCTGTACGATAAAGGAAAGCCTCCCAGCACGGTGACCCTGGATTCGAAGAAGCCCGATCCTTGTGCTATGCCACTCGCTTGATTAACAGGGACCTGACCGCTCACGGTATGCAATGATCCCCCTCTGAGATTAGAGATGAACTGTAAAGGTCATCGAACTTCCTTTTGTAAAACAGCTTTAACATTAGATCGAACAGATTCACAAATCAATTTCGACCCACTCACGATCCTTTTCCAAAGGCGGTCCTCCAAGTATTTTGCACAGCACTGTTCTTTGCCACACATTTCTTCAACATGGAGTACATGAGATCACGTTTGACACGAAGTGCTATCCTAAGGAAGTTGTAATTCAACATCCAATAACTTAAGGCCGCCTCGTGGGCCGCCAAAGAGATCACACAAACGTTTCCTGGCAACAACGTTTGGTATCACCCGGTGATCAAGGCACCGGCGAAGGAACGTGGATCGTTTGTCGAACTGAGGCTATTTTTTGCCCCAGTGATAGAGCTTCTATGACGAGCCGTTGAAAACGAGTTGGTCCAGACGGCAGTACTACAACTATGCCGAGGTTTACTGAGAGCCGTAGTTGGCGACCAACGAAAACCCTCAAACAGATTCAGCTATCTGACTCGACAACCGGCTATGATAAAGTTCGACACCTTTCACAAGGTCACCATCCCGGTAGTTTTACCGGCAAAATTCGTGTCCGGGAGTTTTCTGTCGCTCTACGCACAATGAAAAATTAACCGAGGACACCTACTGGGCAAATTCGCAAGCCAGCACAGCAGAAAATTAATTCGCTTCGACAAGAGTTCTTGATGCAGGAGCCTTTAACTGTACAACCCTTACCTCCCAGCTAATCCAGTCAAGAAATCTGCGGGCTGTCTTACTATCTATGCTTACCATATCGGCTGAAATTAAGGAAACCACAAGCAATTTCCTCCAAAAAAAAGGAGAGTAAATAG